TAGACCACCAGAACATCTGATTTGCAAGAAACAGAAACAATAAAAAAAAAAAAAACCCACAACAAAAAACAAACAAACAAAAACACCAAAATCAAACCAGAAATATTCAGGGCACCACAACACTCTGCTGCTCCCCTGCAAGGTTCTCACCGAGGCAGAGGGAAACTTTCTACCCTGCTTCTGTGCTGCGAGTGAACTCATATTTGTGTTTCCAATAAAGAGCCATTTTTACATTAACTGTCTGGAACAGCAGGGAATAGGAAAACTAACACAATCTTTACCTCGTACAAAGGATGATATTGGTGTCACGTGTTCGCTTCTTCAAAAAACGCTATTTATAAAAGGGAATGGGGAAAGCAGGGAAACTATTGACTCTTCTCTGCATCCCCACGCGAGCAGCATTAGAGCAACTTTTTGATCCCCTACGTTTTTTTACATTTTTCCCCCCCGAGAAGTAAATTTCACAGCCGCACAGGCCACCGCCTTTAATTAAGCTTTCAAAAGTCTTCTGACAATGCCAACAATTGCAAGACACTTCTAGAGCTCAATCATGCAATCATCATGACACTTCTATTTACAATTTGTCTTAGAAAGAGTTTCTCTGACATTGTACTTTGACAAAACAGCCAAGCTGCCGGTTCACAACCTTTCTCTGTCTTATTTACAAATACAGCTTGTACGCAGCGCTCCAAATCTCGGGAGCGGGAGCCTTTGGGCAGCACCCTCACTATTTTTCCTGCTTGCCATATTTTACCCAGCCTGTGCCCTCTGTTTCTTTGTATGGGGAAAGCAGAGAGAATCTGACTCCAAAATATGCCCATATTCCCCATTCTTTCTCCCTCTCTATCTTTAAGCTTTCATCTCATTGTCCAGATGCAATGATAACTATTCAACGCAGTCAGTAATATTTATTTTTTTTTGTCTCCAGAACAAAACAAAATAAGGAATCACCATTTAAAACCTACAGAATTATAATGGCAACTACTAATAACAGCCCAAGAAAATTTCTGCTCAAAGACATTATCTCCTGAGAACTGTAATAATCAAATATACTCGGTCTGAAATTTAGTACCAAATAATATCCACCTTCCCCCGGTTGCTGCAGACAGAGGGTTTTCTTACACGATTTTCCCCACGTGTTTTATTTGAATGCCACGAGCAGCTTGAGAATATAGGATTCGAGCAGAAAAAAATGACCTCCCCTCCTCCTCCTCCCCTCTTTGTACAGTAAATACAGCATCCACGGATACACACTCGGCATTATACAGGGGAATACACAGCAGCACTCCAAAGTGTTCCTCCAACTGCATCCAAGTAACATTTAAGATCCTTCCTCACCCAAACCCCAACCTTTCATTAATTCCCTCGGATTTATACATTCAACAAACAAACCGCTAAAAACCTGACACGGGCGGACGATAAATATTTCTCCAGCCTTTTCAATAAGTGAACAGCAATTTTACATTCACTGATCTCCAGATACTTCAGTTAATATTTCCCCCTATTGTAAAATACGAGAGCGGATAACTAAAGCCCCGCCGTCGCCCTCACTGCAAATCACGGGCTGCCGGTATCTGGTGGTGAGGCTTTGACATACATATTGATGAAAGCTGCCTCGTTGGACCCACACAACATATCCTATTAATTTTCGGTTAAATTTATGGCGTTTCAGCTCCAGCGCTGGATCAGCATCACTCAAAATTTTTACAGCAAGGCAGAGCTGTGGGCAGGCAGACACCCACATGGAAGAGCCAGGTACCTACACATGCCTGCACCCATACGGATCTCACGGCTCCTGCACAGGTTGCACACACACACATATAAGCTCCTGTACTCATCCCTGCCTCTGGAAAACGGCGAGGATAAAGAGCAGCCTAGCGACGCTTAAAACAGACATCATTTCTCCCTGCATTTGGATGATTCGCTGCCTTCCTTCCTCGTCTGCAGATCCTTAACCATTACTTATCTTAAGATGATATTTTACTGTAACACCCCAAGTTACTGACTACAAAACTGCAGGCAGAGCACATACCACACCCAGAGCTCACCCACCTCTGTATCCAGGGCTAACCTGGAACTCGTCTTTCAGCCTCACAACTAATTGGGAACATTTTTACAGTGCTACAAAATACGTACCTTCTGGTTTCTTACCAGAAAGAATCACTTCCCCCAACTTCTGTGTGTTTTTCTATAGGCAGCCTGTGTCTTTTTTGTACTTTTTAATTACACACTCATATCTTTAGCTTTTTGCATTCTTGCATAAAAATCAGATATAAAATAGGAGAATTGGAATAGCCTGAGGTTCACTGCAGGGGCCTTCCAGAAGCCTGAACTCCACAGCTCAGGTTCAAAGACCCTCTTTGGTAATTTTACTGCCAGACCCCACAAACTACTGGCTACAAGCAACGGGTCACTCCAGCTATCACCACACTTCTTCACGACACAAGAGATCTGAACTCATCCAGGTGAAAGGGGAGATGAAAACACAAAGCATAGGGATAGTGCAAGACCCCATAACTCCTGATGCATCTTCTCCCCTTCCCATAGCCAGGCTGCGTTTCCAACCAACGGGAACAACGAAGTGTCCCTTTGGTTCTGGCCCAGCCAAGAAGGTGCAGAGGACCTGCACTCTTGGACCTCGTCTCCACGAGCACAGCTGGGCACCACCACACGAAAAACCTGGGGCAGGAGAGCCCTGACAACTGCAATTTGGTCTCTACTCATCACCACGGACCCTCCTGCACAGCACTGAGCCTGCTCCCAGCCAGGCCCGCCCACAGAGCAAAGGTGATCCCAACAAGTAAGAGCGAGCAGGATCAGGTCCCTGCCAATGTGCACCTCTCCTCACCCACTGCCTCTGCTCACCAAACCATTTACAGTCAGTTAAAACCACGGCCCTTTCGGAATTAACAGCCCCCTAAAAGCACATGAGCCCCAATCCCTCTCGCTTCGCGTCACCCGCACCACGCAAAACGAGACTTGGTTCGCTGAGTCTCCCGCGCCAACCGAACGCCGGCGCAAAACCCCTAGTGGAGGAAGTTCCCCTCACGCAGAACTCCCCAGTGTGTCCATCCCTCCAGCCCAAGGACCTATCTGGGACCACGGGGAGGACAGTATGTTTTAATTCTTGCTTGACAGACGCTGTGTTTTGTCTTTTCAGCAGAGCGGCGCCGTACGTAAATACAGCGTTACATCACACCGCCACTCCTCCATATTTGGTGATTTAGGATGGCTCCAGAGCTCGGAAGACTACAAATCCCTTCCGCCAGGCTCTTGCTTCATTAATCATGCCCTGCGCTTCTGCTCGTTCCCCGTCAGATCACAGGCAGCACATGGAAATGGGCACTGCCCTCTACCACTCTGGGAAAAAAACCCCACCTTCAACATCCACGCCTGGGAAGCGCAATATGGGGAATCGTTGGGGTTTTTAAGTCTCACTCAAAGTGTAGCTTAGCAGTAGCTGAGCCTCTGTTTCCTCTTAAATGTACAGATATTCACGTTTCAAAGAAATACCTATTACTCTGCAGAAACAGTACGGACTCGCCCACACGCCGTACGCGTGTGCACGCACACGGCTTTGCACACAGACACGTGCACAGACAGACACACACACCCCCCAACACTTATCTGCTGCCACCACAAAACCTCTAAAACTCCAGCTCTCCAGCACGATTTGACGGCCGGTTTGGATAAGCCAGGGAGGCTGCGGGAGCATCCCACTGAACCTCCCGGAGCCTACTGCCCTATTATGGTTTAACTCTGTGGCCAAAGCAAGCCCAAGACAAGCTCCAGCACATCATGTGATGATGTACTGCGCCTCCGACAACCCCGAGCGGCCCTGTGGGCTCCCAGAAGAGAGGTACCGGCAGTGCTACATCCCAAACACCGCTGGAGGGGAGTTTGAAACTGGTTCAGGCATTTGTTGGTGTTGATACACTGCGGTCTCGCCTTTTTCAACCAGCAGTATTGGTGCGGTTTGAAGTGATTTGCAACGCTCGCTACAAATGGGTAGTACTTTTGTTTACTAGCAGGGTTTTAAAAGCAGAGCGTGCCTTGTTACACTCCCAGGGCTCTGGGATTTTCTTTCACATGGTACACTCTATTTTTTTGACCTCATTTGTGAAAATATCTGCACAGCGAATGGCCCTCCTTTCTTTAAAAAAAAAAAAAAAAGCGCTATGAAACGGTATTATTCACCCTATTTTTTTTTTAAAAATCACATTTCATATTGTTTGTTGCACAAAACAGAACTCTGCCTTGGACATTTGTACGGCTGACATGTGGTTGTGTAAACCGCAAACAAAATCAAGATACATCTGTCAAAACCACATCAGAGACAAGAGAGAGCACAGCGAAGCATTTATCATTTGGCTGAGGAGGCAGGCTGCAGAGAGCAGCCTTTCCTGTCAAACCAACCTTTTGAAATTTCCAACATGCCCTTAAACTTTCCGAATAAGCATGTCTGTGCGCTTCAGCAACTGCCCTCTCTACTCTGGCCTGGCCAGTCGAAAATGGCATCTTAAAGTCAAGGTCGGTGGTGTCACTTTGCCATGGGGCTGTGTTTAATTACAGTCCATACGCTGACAGCCAATATGGAACCAAGGCTGGCTGATGCTCGGTTAACTCTTTCACCCCTGACTTTGCCAAAGACTTGAAAGCTCCTTGCTGTATCGTGCTCTGAAACCTCCTCCCGCAGCGCTACGGCAGGAGAGACACCGGGAGACGGTGGCTACAATACAGGCAAATCACGAGAGCGGCCTCAAACAATACCGCTGGAAACACCGGCTGGCACGGCATGTGCCTGTTGCTCCTGCCGCTGCGCAGGCACTAGGAAATACCACTCACCACCAACCCAAGGCAGGGAAGGTACTGAACACACCACGGGCCCGTCACGGCGAGCAGAACACAGACAGACACAGCAGTTCACAACTGCCAACACGCTACGTTTGCAACTGAAACGGAAATAAAACTCGCAAACACTTCTCCTTGCTTTAATTTACCTGCTATATGTTCCTGTTTAGGGCAAATTCCTCTAGATGACGTTGATAAACAATCGTCATCCTCTGGCGTAACCTGGATGCCAACCTCCACAGGATTGGATGCTTTTTTCAGCTCACTTGGTGAGGGTGAAGGTGGCTTATCCACAGCCTTCTCTAGGCAGAGACTGCCATTGCATTGTTTCCGTTTGTGCTCAATAAAAATAAGAATGTCCCCCAACGGAAAGTTCATCTGACACTGGCCACAAGTGAGGAGGTCGTGGTCCCCTTCTGGAGCTCCCAATGTGCCATGTTCAGGTTCGTCATCAGTGAGAATGGCTTCAAGAGGTTCGGCTGCAGTTTGAGAAACAAAAGGAGAATCATTAGAGCTCTCGGGAAAGGCACCGGGCGCAGAGGGGGGAGGAACGCGCCGAGCCCCCTCTCCATGAATATTACACCCCTCTCTCCATGTCCGCCTGCTCCCCCCCCAGCTAAAGCCATGCAACACGGCTGTCAGCACGGCAGCGAGGAGATGGATTCATCAGTTACGGGGAAGAGGTTTGGCAGAAGCAGCTGTAGCATGCAGAACTCGGGAGAGCGAGCACCGCAACTGTCCCCGTGTTCCTACACGAGGGCAAATTTCTGACTCGCCGAACCGTTGGGTGCTAAAACTGAACGAACAGGCAGGAATAACTGCGAAACTCTCGTGCTACTACGAATACGGTGTTTTATTGCTGGATGCATTATTTATGTATATGAATCCAAGGCTAAAAGCACTGCACACACACACTCTCTCACACCACATGGGTGTGTATCTTCCACGAGCCAGACCCACTTTCTGAAATTCAGAAGCCCGAAATACAGCGTAGACAAAAGGTGTTTGAATATACACAGATATTGCATATTCCCTGTCCAGGCCGTGCAGGAAGCGTGTGTATGTGTGGAAAAGAAAAGAGAGGGAGAGCCAGCCCGCATGGCCACACACACCCGGGCACCGACACCCAGGGCACACAGAGCCCTCAGAACACACGTGCACACACATACGTATGGATTTGTGTCACTGTCCCTGTCGGCCTGTTTGCGGCTTCCAATTCAAAGAAAAAAAAAATCTAAAGGCAGTAGTTATTCGTGGGGGAGGGAGGGGATGAGGCAAATAAATAAATAAATAGATAGACAAATACATGGCAGAAACCAAAATGATAAAAAGCAAGTGCAGCAGAAATGCCTGCGGGGCGGGGGGGGAGGCACCTCTCACTTTTCAGCTACTCCTCAGGATTCAAATAAATAGCAAATTCACCACCGAGTCCACCCAGAGATATTAAATGGATGGGATATTTTTTAGTACTTAAGGAAACAAGGCAATCAGTCATTTTGTGCTTTTTAATCCTGAAATAAGGGAATGCCTAAATTATCTTGAGCGTGTTAGCACTGGTGGCCCTCAGCATCTAAAAATCAGCCTGGCCAAGCAACTGCCACATTTCCTCGCAACAGTGAGAAGCGCCTTCTTTAAACTCAAAATACCTTGGCTAATGTTGTCAAAGTTGACAAATTTTCTGAATGAGCTCCAAAAAGCTTCATTATGAGGCTATTTCTGCTCACAGAATCGTCAGTGGATGCTCTAACGAGGCAGACTCGGCTCTCTTTTCTGTTGGCTTTTTTTTTTTTTTTTAGGTTAAATTTGCAGAGAAATACCTTGGCAATCTCTGTGCAGTCTCCACCACTATTGCCTTTCATGAGGTAAAAAAAAATAAATACCAGCAGCGTGTTGGTGTTCCTCTGCCTGCGCAATACCAACACGCACGCTAACAGCAGTGAGCAGGGGGAGAGGGTACTACAAATACAGCCCACCTCAAAACACTGCCAGGTAATGCAAGAGAGACAGAATACAACTCCTAAACAGTTAATCAGCCTGACCTTCTTTAGCTGGCTGCCAATTTCACATTTAATGAACTTAAAGCCACAGAGAATCAAAAAATAGATTTTAATTTGACTGCACAATATTGGAACTGATTTTGATAAAGTGCAAAAATCCAGTGAACTCAGGTTAAATTTATTTCAACCCTACCTAGGCTGAATATTGAGGAGGAAGATCTGGAGTAGCTCCCAGTTGTGCTGCGTAAAATAATATTGAAAGAGCACACTACCTCGCCGTACCTCAGCTCCAACTAGGACACAGGGATCCAGTCCATCATTTCTTGCCTCTAGTACTACTTCTAATTTAACGTAAGGTCAACCACAGGAATATGAAGGTTACATTCGCATTAATAAAAACAATGTCTTAATCGCTGGGGTTTTCTCCTAAACTTACAGACCGACAAGAGCAAGAGGCAACAACGTGAGTGCGTCTCACACTCCTCGGGAAGCCGGGAGAGGAGCAGGGTGTTTCTGCGGGATTGCCGGGGCATGGCTGTTTTCCCTCCCCAGCCGTTCCTTGCGTTCGGACCGAGAGGGAGTAAATTATTGCAGGACTAATTCCACCAGTAGCTCGCTGCACGCCGCAGACAAAGGTATTTTGCGAATCTAAGTTCGAGCTCAGCGACCCTCCGCAGCAGAAGACACAAAACCACCCGTATTCCCCTCAGAACTGGCTTAGCGAGGAGCTCTGCATAATCATTACTCAATTATAATGTTTTCCCGCGGCCTGATTCCTTTCTGACGCTGTCACTATTATTTAGCAGAGGAAGGTAACCCGCTGCTTCAACACCAGACAGTTAAAAGTAGCGCTGAGCAAAAATAGACTTTGCTAAAAGTCTGTACGGACTGGGCTGATTTACAATCAAAACCAGGAAATGAAGTGGTAATTCAGAGGTTGCTGATTACACCTCCACATTTCACCTAATTAATTTTATAGGAGGCAAAGTTCTTGAAAATAACAAGATGATCAAATGTACAGATATAAAATCTGTAACCTCAACATTTTCTATGCTCTTAACGTAAATTATTGCTAATTAACAAGAATTATATACTAATGTATGAAATACGGCTGGCACCGTGTTCGCTGCAAAACATTTGGCTCCTGATGGAGGCAGAGCCGACAAAAAATATGCTTTTTATTATGACTGCTACTTTTAAAACAAAATACAAAATACCGGGATTACAAAGAAAACACCGGAATACAATTCACCTGGTCTTGCCTCCGATATGCAGGATCCATCTTTTAATTCTGGGGCAATCAAAATTCCCTGCCTGGGTCCCTAATCATCCGTCTCTATTTTTCATGCAAATTGCCCTTCCACCAACATGTCTTTTCAGCTTTCCCCCTTCGCCCTCCTACTCCCCCCTTCTTCCCCCAGTTCCCAGTCACCAAAACAACCGCACCGGCAAAAGCGGGATGGCTTTTGGAGTGTCGGGAGAAAGGAGGTACTGGGGGTGATGGGGATGGGAGGGGGAGATGCCACGGTACGGTGCGGGGAAATGCCCGCGGGGCAATAACGCGGGTGCGCTGTCGGGGCATTTCCCCGCACCGTACCGTGGGAAGGATGGAGAGGGGTTGTTTAATCCCAAGTTTGTGTCCTGGGATCGTGCGGTGCAAGGAAAAGACTTGGGGGTACAATGGGAATCGCCAACACGTTAGGGGGGGAGGCAGGGGAAACCCGGGGAGGGGGAAGGCGAGCATCCCCCGCTGCCTCCCGGAGCAAGCAAACTCCGCGCAAAATTAAGAACAAAGAAGGAGAAGGAGGGGGGGCGTGGGGGGGGTGGAGGGGAGGGAGCTGGGCGCCCTCCCCCTCCCGCCGGCCGGGAGGCAGCGGCGGAGCCGGCCAGGTTCAAGTTCGCGGGGCTGCCCGGTTGTTTGATCTCGCTGTGCCTCCTAGCGACCGAATCGGGCACGGAGCCCGCCCGCCGCCTCCGCCGCCCCGGCCCCGGCCCCGCCGCCGCCCCCCCCCCCCCCCCCCCGGGCCCGTCCCGGCCGCCGCTACCGCCCCGCACGTGCGGGAACTCCGCGCTGGCCCGCGGGTGCCTCGGCGTGGAGCAGCCGCGGGGATCCCGCCCGTCGCCGCTGCCCCGGGGGGCGAGTGGGAGCCCCTCCACCCCCTCCTCCGGTCCCGGGGTCCCGCCGCGATCCCCCCGTTCCCCGCACTCCTAGGGCCGACCGGGGAAAGCACCCCCCGTACCCCATTTCGAGGGGGATGGGGGGGCGCACCCTCGTAACCCAGTGATGCTGCACCCCGAGCCCGGCCAGGCAGCCAAAATAAAAAAGCGCCCCGAAAAGTAGCGGGGAAAAACGACCGAAGGCGGGGGGAGGAGGAGAGGGGCTGAGCCCCCGAGACACCCCCCCCGGGTTTTAGGGCAAACTTGGGGCAGGCAGAGCCTCCGGTCGGCCCTGCCCGCCTGCAAAAAGCCAGCGCTGCTTCGCTCCATGTGCGAACCTGGCTGGAATGTTTGGGCGGCCGTGGGGGAGAGAAATCGCGGCGGAAAGTTTGGGGGGTTTTGCGAAAGGCTGAGGGAGCCAGGGACGGTTGGCAGGAAGAAGCGGCCCTGGGTTTTCTGCCATCCCTGGGAGGGAACAAAACCCGCCGGGAGCAATGGGGGAAAGGAAAGGAAGAAATAAAGAAAAATAAAAGAAGAAGGGGAAAAGGAGCGAGGAGAACCATGCAGCATTTCCCCTTCCCCCCGGCTCACCCCGAGGAAAAGGGGATTTTTTTTTCCTCTCCCTTCCTTCCCACCCCCCTCGCCCCAAACCTTTCCAGCTCGAGTTGCCTTTTGTTGTGCAAAGAGCGCTCCCGCTTATCTTGCATCTAGCCCTGCTGTGTGTGGTGGCGGCTGGAGGGAGGGACGGAGGGAGCCGGAGAGTTTTTGTTGCGAACGGGGTGGCGGGGCTCGGGGTTTGTTTTTTCTCTCCCGGGGAGAGCGGATTTGGTTTGGGGTTGAAATGCGGCGGCGAGAAAGGGCCGTTCGCGGGTGTGAGGGTGCGAGTGTGTGTGTGCGTGTGTGTGCGCGCGTGTGTGTGTGCTCAGCCCGGGCTCGCTCTCGCCTGTGTTTGTTGGCAGGAGGCTCCCCGCACACGCGGTGCTTGTAAACATTCAGACACGAGATTTTTCCCAATCAAAATCCACTTCCACTTTTTTTTTTTTTTTTT